AAGGTAACGCGATCGCACGCGATAAGCCTGACTAGGCGGCGAGAACACTCGTGAGAGCTGCAATTTCAGCTCCACCCAGGAAGGAAACGCAGCTTCGACCGAAGTGCCGCACGTCAGTACCCATTCTCGCGCTCGACCACCGAGCTTGGAGATGGATAGCGCCACGTGCTGTTGCTCGTTTTGGAACATGGTGGATGCGATGGCCATCGCAACCTCTCTCACCCAGAGTAGGTGATTCTCTCTATCCTTCCCCTCAAAGTCCTGAACGCTCTCAGCAGCGCTTTTTTGTAACTCGGAAACGCCTCTAGACGCGCTCTGAATGCCTCGGGACCTCAGAGCCAAGCAAGGACATCAGCTTGTTAAGCCCGTCCTGTATGCCCTAGGGCAAATAGAAAATTTCCTCCATCCTCACAGAGGATCATTCTAAACGACTCAGGTGTAGATTGACTACAAGTGCTGCTAATTGCAGCGGGGCTACCGTAGCTTAGCGCTTGAGAAAGCGTACTCTAAGTCACAGACCTTTCGTTCTTTACAAGAACCATTAGTGGATCGCAATCTGCTTACTCCAAGAGTAATTATTGCCTTCCCAAGGCTAATCGACTCTTCGGTTTATATCCCAAACTGATTTTCAAACTCTGCAATCTACGCTTTGAACTGTAGCCAGGCCAGTCTCCCCCCAAGAAAAACGATATTGGTTAGGCAATCATATGAATGCCCGTGAGAGCATGTATTGTGTTTTCTAATGGAAGCTCAGAGGGTCGGAACAACGCGATTCAGCACCACGGTAACTCTGTACAAGTACTCCAAAATTGTCCCCCGACACGCGATTAGCGCGTTCCATGTAACCATATTTCTGTGGATGGTCGGCGATAGCACCTTAAACAAATTTACCACACTTTCTTTAAAGTGCGGTTCCTGACCCGAAACAACGGTCACCGGCAAGCCGTGTTGGCGAACACACATTCTCGGGGATCTGGTTGGCTGTATCCTCATCAGTTACGGCATCGTTGACAGCAGCGAGAAGGGCCATTTAGCTCAGACAGCCCATAAAGACGACACTGTCGATATTACTGGAGGTGCCTTTTGAAGGACCATAATTAGAGTCTATGCTTATGGAGTACCTGCACTACCGAACGGAAAGCCTATCAAACGGCACCAACAGATGCAGAAAGGGTTTTGTCTGCCGACAGTTTGTACACTCTACCCATTTATTCATTTTGGTCCACCAGTACACGTTTATGCGCCTCGAAATGTTCTGTTTACTTGATGTCGTCATCATAAGATGCTACCCCACGTTGAGTTAGTGCTAAGAAACATCAAACGTTGGGATAAGGATAGCAAGCGCGCAGTCAATTACTTTGATATAGCGGCATCAGTGTTTAAAAACTTGCTCCCGAAAGCAGCGAAACACAAGCTGCGTCGGACCCGTAAGCTATACATTTCACTTTATAGATCGTCGAAATTATCAATGCAATATGCGACAGCTTGCAATAGCACAACCACCACACAAAGCCAAACCAGCTTATTAGTTTACCCGATTGGCAGCGATATAAAACCATTTTATCATTCTTTGCGATAGACGTGGTGACGCCGTCATGCTCAACGACGCAAACTGTGTACAAAACATGAATGGCTTCGAGCTCAGTAGCTGTCCCTAAACCTGACCAAGATATACTTCATTGTCAGAAGATCTGTGTCATAAAAAGAATATTTCTTCATAACCACTACATACTCCAACGCGGTTGCATTTCGCGGCCTTTATCACTTGCTTGGCCTAAATCACATTCTGTGGCAAAATTTAACCGTCATAAATATTAATTAATGATGGGCCTGGACTCAAAAGAGAATTGGGGTACACACGAGTCTTTCTTTGACTGGATTGGAACCCGCCTCTTTTGCCGGACCTTCGTATCATGTAACATCTTTAAAGACAATTAGTGAGGGGCCGTGTCATCGTGATATTGTTTGCACTATTCGTGTAATTAGATCGTTAGGGAAACCACTTCCTTAAGTCTTCCCGAGACTAACGTACCGGCCTATCTACAAATGCATTACCTTTGCTGGATGTGCCGACAGACCATGCTTTCTAATGATTTAACTCGGAGTGACAATTTTGTCAGTGCAAAAGAAATACTGTTCTTTAGTTAAGAGTGGCTCGTATAAGCGCATATCCCGAAGCACAGCTCACTAGCGTTAATATGGCTCTCGCCATTCGACTTTGCGTGCTCTGCAACACTATAGACGAATACACAGTCAAAGTGGGTTTGCGCGTAGACACGATGTGGCTTGAGCAGTTGCGTCATGTGACGATCGATTATGCTAGTTCGCTAGTAGGTCTTTGTGGCATAATAGCCACTCTTAAAGCGTCCTGTAAGAGACATCGGTGTCTCACAACTAGTCGATAATAATCATGAATAGTCAATGACCAGCGAACAAAGTAAAACCGAACAAGCTGTTCGTATGCATAACTTGATAAGAATTTTTCGGAATCGCGACAATGATAAGATTATCTATAGTTTGTAAAGCCGCTTTTTTGAGAAAAAGGTAAAATTCAAAAGCGATAAAAATAAAAGCGAAAGCTCAGAACGGCAATAACTTTTCTAAGGCTGACTCGGAAGGTTAGTAGGTAGGCTAAAAAGATTTGACGGAGAATGCGAATTGTGCTGATCAAACTGCGCCAAATAAGGCTGATTGTAAAGTAGTTAGCCGATTAAGCTGCATTACCAAGCTTACGGAAGAGCCGAACGCGTGCTCACATCAGCCATATCATAGATTCACATACAAAAAGTGAAAATTTGGCTCACTAGCTGCAAAATACTGGTTTTACTGACAATATCGGTACTGACGTATTACAAAAAATCTTGTTGTGTATTTTTGTGCGATGTTCTATTCTCTTCGAAAACTTGACATCAATTTATTTCCGTAGAAGACGCACATCTGGTGAAGCTCTCGAAGCTTGACGTAAGGTAGTCGTAGCTCTGATTAGCACACTAATACGAACATGGACCTTGTCAATTTCGCATACAGCCCTAAACCCAAAGTGCACGCAAAAATCATAAATTTGAACAATTTACGGACTTCCACCGGCAATTGGTTAATTTGTGACCCAAATACGCTTTTGTGAGCTAGAGTTTGAGCTAGATCAAACTTATAGGTATACTCTAACAAAATATCAAGCTAGCTGAGCAAAACGTGGGTCGCTTGACATATCAGTTCCATCGCTCGCACAGTAGCAGGGATCTTGTATGAAAGCATTACCTCTTCTACGAAGACACAAGTTAAAAGTCTTCTCATTGCATTACACAAGGAATACTGATTAAAAGTTTGAGCAGTATAAGACTCACCAAGCCTTTCCACAAAAGCGAAACAAAGCGGGAGAGGCGATAGCTGAGGCCAGGATTGTTACAATATATATTAAAGATACATACCCGATTAAAATGTTGTCATTAGAGTGTGGAAAGAGCTCAAAGGTACTGTACACAGATCGTGGTGGAGTATCGCGCTGATGTATGGTGGACTGGGTAGTAATCTAGCGCTTGGTACGATTGTATAGTGATAACACTATAGAGAAGAACACTTGAGCTGCTAGCCTCACGCAGTGCATTGACCCAAATTTGTTATTATCGATGACATAACGTAGCACATAACGGCTAATTACATTTGGTTTAGAGCTTATCGCAAATAAAAAGCGCCAAGCCCAAGGTCAGCAACAAAAGCGCTTCATGGCTCAGTCATTAAAACAATTTGCAACAGAGGGTTTTGGTTAAGCGTCTTACGGCGGCCTTTGGGTTATCTTTTGTGCGCTGGTTTACGCAAGCTCTTCACTTAGAAGCGTGCTTTATCCATGGTACATCGTTAACAGTGGTGGCACATGTAGGTGACCAAATCTTATGACGGTACCTACTGCGAAGGTATGTTCATCTTTCTTACCCTGGGGCAAAAATAATGCTTAATAAGCTTTGGTCGATAGTTAGTTCTGAGAAATTAAAGCAACTGACGCTTCAATGCCTGGAATCGGCTGCCGCTTGCCAAAAAGCTTTCATCAAATTTTACATTGCAACTTTAGAAAGTCTCGGTGAGACATTAAAAAACATCTGCCGACTCCTAGAACTTTTGGAACAAAATCGCTGTAGCGCTAATGAATAAATGGGAGAGTCTCTTACTCTAGGTACAAAGACTCGGCTCTTTTTCTAACAGAGCAACAGCACGTCACGCCAGCAAACACCAAGCTAGGATATCGCGGGGAAAGGGGTGAGAAAATGATGTCCAACATTTTTCTCCAGCCAAAAAAAACGTTTAGGTTTTGCATCTTGTTGTATTGCCCAACCAGGCTTCCTGCGTGGACCTAAATCAATAATTTGTCTGTCAACGGAAGCAAAAGGAAGCGGACTACATCTGAAAATATTATAATGTAAATGACGGCTCACACTTTTTCGGAATCGGTGAAAGTTACTATTCGTTGAAGGTCTCAGTGTCGCACTCGCACTGAGACCTTCAACGAATAGTAACCCCGCCCAAGTTTTGGACGCAGTAACGCCTCATGATATGCAAAATCTAGCCTTCAATTCTCAAGGATGTGCTGGGCAGAGAATTTTATAACGCGACAGAGGCAATTAATCTTAACCAAGCTGAATATGAAGAAAGTGACCCCTCGGCTGCTGGACAGCCTCTCGATATCAATTGACACATGATTGTATTTTTGATAGTGTGGAATACCATTCGGTCTTAGACCAAGGAGCGAGTTACATCCATCCTAGTTTGAGAATCATAAGCTATGGACCGACCGAAAGTTGTTATGATGAAAGTATCGTGCTTCTCTTGATGCGGAAGCTGAATAAGTCATGAATCCACGCCTGATAAAAGCGAAACGCATGTGACGCAGGACTAAGCTTTGATAGCTTTAGTAAAAGTAATGAGTCTGTCAAGATAGTTGGCGATCATATCGCTAAAAGCTTCGTATGTAACCCTGAGGGCTAGGTCGGCTTTAAGTCGCGGCGTACAGGCTTTTAGCCTACATAGGCAAAAAATGACACCTTTGAGCTGAATTCCCCAGCGTTTATCTCGATTGAGACGAAAGAAAGTGACTGTATATTGCGGTTTCCCAAGATTAACGCTGTTTAGATAAAATTATTCTTACTCTATTGCCTCTAGGAGGAATTTGGCACTACGAGCTACGATCAACGAACCGGACCTTGATGCTTATGAGATGATCCATCGATGACACCGTGAGACTGGACAGCCGAGTCAGCAACGCTAAGTGAGTTTCCAACGTGCAGACTCACACAGTTGTGCCAACCAGAAAGATTCCGTCACAAATGGGGGATCGTAGATATAATAGGGTTACCGCGCACCTCGCCTTGGTAAGGCCTTGACTCTCAGAGTGCACGTTATATAAACGCAGAAGGTTGGTTAACTAGCCAGCCTTCAAAGTGACGAACAAAGAGTGTTTTCAGATTTCCAGTCCCTCTTCGATCATATCAAACGATTATACAGTTGCAACTATATAAAGTGATACCACGTAGCCTTTCATACAAATATTACTCAAAGAACCCTATTGTCTCATGTCATGAAGCTAGCAGCCCATTGTCCTACGGATCTATCCCTTACAAAGAACCATCGCCACCATACGTTCCTATTATCAATCATGAGACTTTATAATATGATATCTTAGAGCCGCTGAAGTACGAGGGACAACACTGGAATGCCTACGTACATCATAATAGTGTATGTACCAGTTACACCATCCACCACCAAATCGGAACCCCCCACTGTGATCATGATCATTTTGTCGTGTACTAAGACAGTGTGCTGGTGTTAAGCGCACAGTAAGCACGACCGAGCCGGTTATCCCTTTATAACGTCACATAATCATCACACCCTGATATGAGCACAAATACCGAATTTCTTCTCCCCTACTTCTTTGTTAAGCATATGGCTCGACATATCACCCAGAAAGGCGTGGCCACTGTGGTTGATGACATGGTCGACTGATCGGTGAGGCAGGGAAGTTATTATCCGATGATATAAATCACAGTGACCTTCGCCTTCATCAGTATAATACATACATAACAAAAATATTATACAATAAAATGTATATTTATTGTATTTTACGGCAGATTTATTCGCAGAGATGAAGTTGTTCTTCGCATTTCGCTCCTCCTATGCATCAGTTGGGCCCAGTGCACTATATAGTTATAGCGGGAGGCGTTCTATAATTCCACAGCGGGACCCACGACAAGTTCCAACTCGATAGCAGTGAGCTGGGCTTAGCTTCGAAACTGCCTGCAAACCGAAGAGGCACAGTGTAAGATGACGCTATTTATAACAGTCTCCTAAACACAACACACATTTTTGTGCGACGAGAAAGCTGTTCTCGACGTAGAGAGAAGAGAAATTTCCAACTTTGAGGGCTCCTAAAGAGTTTACTAATTAAACATTGGGTTACCATAAATCTGAACTATCTAGTCAAGGGTGAACTGAGGTTGAACCTCAGCTTGAATTTATACAAGATCATGAGTGCACAGAGCTTGAGCTTGAGCTTTTGTGGAACATTAATAACAGAAGTAACTACCCACTCAAAAAGACAGAGACACGTTGGTCATGTTTTCAGTACTGGTCCCGTGGTGGAAATCAGCAATCTGTATCGCAGGAAATGTTTGTGATCTCATAGTAGATGTCACATATGCATTTAGGCACACCGTACTATAATCCTTTCTAATATACTCCCACCATACACCCAGGATTTTCATAGACATACATTTATGTAATGGTCCATTACACACAGCGAAACAAAGTAAACTTTAATCGGACCGAGTAAATGCGGGATTTTATACCATTGCAAGCCGCCTACTATACCGCGACGGCACGTTTAGGCAAGACCTTCATATCAATCAGAGAGCACATCGTGGGTCTGAGAACATTTAGTTTGAGAGCGCATTCTGACCTTGCCGGGCATCACTACAACTTACGGCTAGAATTGTAGTGATTGCAGCAATTTGTAGCTGAACGAGTGCTAAAGATATAGCACTATACTCTGCCAAACGTGCTGAAGTATACAGTACTCACTTTGAGCACTGGGCGAGAAAGGACGACGTATTACCCAATTTATCAAATTCAACTTCTGAGAAAGATGTCAGACTGGACTGCTGGAAATATTGCTTTGCTAAGTACAAAGTGCAACGTCGACGCCAAGATAAGTATTTGCTCCCACCTCCGCTCATGCAAACGAGTCTGCCTTTATGACTACCGTCCAAATCTTAAACTTGAAGATAGGCCAGACCTCGCTCGTTAATTAGAAGCGCTTCGTGTTGTATCACCGAATCATATAAAAGGGTGCGTCAAGAAATGAGCGTCAATGTCGTCAGGGCGATCTTGTGAGCATGAAAATCTCACATCTAACGCTTTTTTAAGAGTGGCAAGCTACCCCATCTTATCTGATTCTAGCTGTACCTCTCTGATACGCTGGACCAATTCATTTCGCATTTTTATCGATCAGAGCCGATGGGGGCGAACCTCACGTGAATAGAATTGATTGGTTAAGGCAGCACGTCAATTTTATTCAAGAGTCTCGGCGTGCACTCGATGCAAACATGATTTATCTCACAGTAATGAGTGACTGGAGGCGCTCAAAATGGCTCAATATTTGATCGATGTCTCGAAGCAGAAGCTGTGTTAGCAGCATGAAACGTTGAGATTTAATATGTCTTTAACAGAGCGTTATGTATCAGAGATGCTTGCAAAAGCGGGGTCATGGTTCAGTTTTGGTATGTCCACTAAATGTGTCTTCATTCTTACGAATACATGAAATCAACAAATTTGATTTGATTACCACCGGAGCAGTCTTGTCTTAACGACAGAAGACACCTAGAATAAAAGCTTACAGAAAACCTTATCGCCTCCGACAATTTTACTTGTATTTTGTCTTTCACTTCCATCGACATGTTGCTTTTGCATATCCTGGCTTTGAGCCATAGCGCACTTGGTGCATGGCGCATAATCGTATTGAGATGATTTGTCGGTGATGCTACGACGTGTAGCAGAACTAACGACAGGAAGTTGATCAGTATCGACACCTTCTCCAGTCGAGTTTACCTTCGTACGGTCTCAAAGAGACAAGCATGTCAGTAAAACATTCGTAAAATGGTATGCGGTCTTTAAAAGTGTGTACTGAGCTATTTGACACAAAATTGATGTGTCTCATCGTTGTGGTCACGTAGAGCGAATGCTTCCAAAGGGATATTACCCACCGCGCAATTGGCACATCATATATACGCCTATTTGTGCGCTGTGAGCATATTTTATCATGGGCCAATTGCTTTTAACAAATAAAGTAAGGATTTTGCTACTAAACAGAGTTTAGTCCGAGACAGCTGCCAGCGTCATTCATGATTTTGCAGATACTTCTTGAGTAATACCTCGGCGATAACTTCGCCGGTAGTAGTACAGCGAGATAAACCTTCTTGCTCAGTCAGTCTTGATACGACAGAATACTGGTATAACTAGACGCAAATGACCATAGATAAAACCAGGTAAATACACTGTCTGCACTAGGCAGACTGCACAAGGGTGCCAGCGCATACAGCGAACGGGCTTCACGCGCGCGCATGTAAATGCTTACCATCTGTACATGTTGGACCTCTGCAATATATCATCAACCTAGCTTACGGCTACGGCTAGTTGTTACCGAGATGAGCTCGCTCAGTTTTCTTGTGCCTTCTTTGAGGTCTTGATCATGAATTACCAATGCAATGTGAGTCATGCAGGTCCGTGCTATAAAAGGCAAGCATCAAAACAAAAAATAGCGGTATAAATGCGCGTTCAAAAGCTTAGGTAGAACGACATCTGAGTTCAAAACATCTTGCTTTAAACGGCGCATAACATATCGGTGTTGACTTTCAACCATACGTATAGCTTTTAAGATGTGCGAATGGATCAATATGAGATATGACACTTCATAGTCTGGGCGACGGGAAAGCGCATTCGCCACTGCATCATTCTGACAAAGTTTGTAATGATATAATGGTCAAAGAGGAATAATAATCATCTTGCCTTACTCTGCAATAGACGAGGAGATGACGTTTCTGAGCGTCTACATTACAATTGGCTTCAAGCCTAGAAGATGAACGCTGAGTTTGCCACAGTGGCCC